GCACTCTGTCAACTTCAGTACCATACTTAACTGCACGGCAGCTCGGGAAGGCAGCAGCCAACCAATCGAGCAAGGTCAGCTTACAGGCTAGAGTATGGGGTTGCAAAGAAGGTGCATTTGCACCCATGTGGTTATATCCGGTAATTTTTTGACAGATTTTATGAATTTGGATTTTATGAAATAAGCGGCCATCCTAGTGCTATATTACGAAACCGTTCTTGAAAAAGATCTGGCAAGAGCACTGAAGTGTTGAAGGGTCCTGCACAGAAAATACGAAAATTAGTAGTAACTGGGAGTAGACATAACCTGCTGTCATGGGAACGATTCATGAAAATTTAAACTGAAAACGCCATTCTCATGACCTCCATCTCCGAGAATAACATAGACTACCGTGGACACTAAAAAGCGCGGAACTGTATACCGTACTCGGATTTGTGAGTTCTCTGTCGCTTTCCAATTGAGCACTTAAGTGTTCCCCCGGTTTAGTTTCGATTCAAGCCCAAGGGTGCAGAACTTTGTTTTCGTCGCTAGACGAAAGATGATGCAAAAACTGTGGACAGCTTGAGTGCAGTATATACTTACCATTCAGATTTCGAAGAAGTAGTTCGCCATTGATGGTGTTGCAAAGGCTGTCCAAGCGACTGAGGTAGGCTTCACTGACAGTTCCCCCTCTACACCGTACCACTTAATGAGAAACAGTTAAAAAATACAATCACTCCCCACACAATACATTCTCTGCAATCTGCAATATTTTTCGCCACCGGAAAAAATTCATCTTCAAAATGAAAGTTGAGAATGAGATTCCATATCTGAGATTTTTTTCCATGTAACTGGTGGAACCTTTTTGACAAAGGTGGTTATAGGAGCTCTGGAAGATACGATAGAGAGAGCAGATCTTTGAACATTTCGTTGTATGAAAGGAAACATCATATATGAAAAAGGCTTTTACTTGTTTTATCTAGGCAGTCATCTTTCCGGTTCATTTTGAACTGTTTTACACTAAAAGAGAAAGAAACAAAAGTTATTTGGCAAAAAACGTTTATTGATTAAGTGTATGTGATTCGTTTCGCCTCTGAATCAGACGAATCACTTCGATTTCACCTACCCCCAAGGCTCATCGGTGATAAGGGGTATATGAGTATATGTGAGTAGTGGTTGATTAAAAAATAGTATTTGAATAAGATGAAGTATTAAAAACCAGTTGGGCTACGAACGCCACTGCGTGCACCACATGCCCACGCATACGCCTACGATCAAAGGTGTCAATCGGTTGCTCTTCATCTTGAAAATTATGAACCATTAAAGGCTTAACTGATAGGTAACCGAAGAATTGAGTAGTACTCACTAATGTTCTCAAGTGGTAATAGCCCCATTTTGAGATTTCGTTAACACTGGACCTTCTTTCCTCCACGGGTACATCATTAGTTTAGAATCCCAAATTATTGGCGGCCGGTTGAGCTTTGTCGTAAATGATATCAAAACATTAGGTAACCTTGATTTTCCATTGAGTTACAAACCTTGCTGGGTAGCGGTCCTAATCTATATAAATGTCGTAATCATAAATACATCATAGATACCACAGGAGTTGAATTTAGTTGGTGAGTGCTCTTATCAGTCGCTATCAGCTGTTATCAGTTCCTATCATCGGCTGTCTACAATCCCGCCATACTCCACGTCACATGCCAAACTGTCAAGGCTCCACTATTAATGCCATTGCCATATTAATGCTCTACACTTTCTAGGATTTTCATTAGCCCTTATCAGTTTTATCAGCTCCCGGCCTGACATCAACCGTTCTCGATCCCGTCACTGAGTACCTACAATCCTGTCACATCTTACGTGACCTATTAAAATTCCAAGATTCCATTATTAAAAAAATGTGCATTACAGATCTAGTGACTCTCGCCTTCTATGGTTTCTTATCAGTCCCTATCAGCTGTTATCAATCCCTGTCACCGAACATTTGCGGTCCCTTTACATCCTACACCACTTGCCAAAGTGCCAAGGCCTCATCGCTAACACGAAGGTAGTCACGGATCCTGAGGCTTTGCCTTTTAAGGCTCCTTATCAGTTTCTACCGATAGTTGTCACTTCCTATCGCCTGCCATCAGTATTCCCATCCTGCCCCCTATCTCTCTTTCAAATTTGAATGCCCTAGGTCCAGTGGGACAGGTGTTACGAACTTCCGGTCAGAAAAACACACACACACAAACGCACCAATAGACACACTTAGCCGATTATATAAGTAGGATGAATGCCCTAGGTCCAGTGGGACAGGATTTATGAATTTACGGTCAGACAAACACACACACAAACGCACACACACAAACACACCAACAGACACACTCAGCCGATCATATAAGTAGGATAGTATTTAACTTAAAAGAAAATATTAGAAATCATCAATATAATTTGTAATAAAATGGTTGATTTAGAAGAGAAAGACGAACAGATTAGATAGATATAGTATCGTATTAGATAGAGATTCAAATAGGTAAGTAGAAAAGAGTGGAGATGATAAGAGTATCCTACTTATATAATCGGCTAAGTGTGTCTGTTGGTGTGTTTGTGTGTATGTGTGTCAGTATGTGTGTGTGTCAGTATGTGTGTGTGTTTGTCTGACCGGAAATTCATAACTCCTGTCCCCGTGGACCTAGAACATTCAAATTTGCAAGGAATGCAGATGACAGGATGGGAACACTGATAGTAGGGGATAGGAGGAGACAACAATTGATGGGAAGCGATAAGGAGCCTTAAAAGGCTAAAACCACAGAACCCATATTTCCCTTTGTATTAATGATGAAGTCTTGCCACTCTGGTAGGTGATGTAGGATGTGAAGGTACCGTAAATGATTGGTGACAGGGAATGATAGCTAGTGATAGGGACTGATAAGGAACCATAGAAGGCGAGAGCCACTAGCTCTATACCGCACTTTCTGTTAATAATGGAATTTTGGAATTTTAATAGGTTACGTAAGGTGCAACAGGATCGTAGGTACTTGGTGACGAGATCGAGAATGGTTGGTGCCAGGCCACTGGCTGATAAAATTGACAAGGGCTAATGAAAATCCTCCAAAGCGTAGAGCCACTATAACGATGGCGTTAGTAGTGGAGCCTTGACAGTTTGGCATGTATTGTGGAGTATGGCGGGATCGTAGACAATCGATAATAGGAACTGATAACAGCTGATAGCGACTGATAAAAGCCTTTATCAGCTGAATTTAACTCCTGTGATTTACGATGTATTTATGATTACGACTATAATATAGATTACGACCGCTACCCAGCAAAGTTTGTAACTCGGTAGCAGATCAAGGTTACTTTACGTTTTGATATCATTTACGTCAAAGCTCATCCGACCGCCAACAGTTTGGGATTCTCAACTAATGATGTACACGTGGAGGAAAGAAGGTCCAGTGATAACGACATCTGATAATGGTGGGCATGTGGTGCACGCATTAGCGTGCGTAGCCCAACTGGTAAAGAAATAAGGAATAGAAACAAACACTATAAAGGTAGGAAAAACAAAAATAAGTGAAAAATGAAGTACCTATTTGAATGTGAATGCAGTATGCATGCAATAGTCAATTACGCTACCAAATGAGTATGACTGGGGCGCAATAGCATGCAAGTGCTATCTATATAGACTAACTCAGGATGGTCTGAAGTTTCCACACAGAGGTAAGTTACAACTATAATAGTAAACCGGTCTAGATATAACGGATGTGGACCACCTTCCAAACCTCCTATCTAAACAACAAGGACACCTCGGCGCACCCACCCAAAATCAAGTGGGGCATTACGGCGAACATGTTTAGGATGGCGCAAATTGTTCTATAGGTTGGTTGAAAAAAGCAGAATCTGTCAAAAAAGTGCTATCAATGCTTGGTAATCATTGGAGATTCGAAGGTCTTGCAGGCCACGCAACCAAAACGTGAAGTAGGGACTTTTTGCCCTCCTATCGTGTTCCACTTCGTCACTTGTGACGCGAGAACGGTTTTTCCAAGCGCGGAATTGATGAAGTTGTGCGGGTGATTAAAAGTTTCTCTCACAAACCTTGGGCGGAGGCTGGCAAAGCCACTAGTAAGGCCGTCTCGAGGTGAACTCCCGATCGTGACTTACGAGACTTTTTTAGATATTTATTTATTTTCTATCAAGTAATACTTGAGCTAGACTGAAGTCTAAAGTGACGTTTGGCAAATCTGCAACATCTTGGCTGAGGCACAAGGACCCCATACTGTTAAAGGCATTACCGACTTGCTTCCTGGCTTCCATTATCAGCTGTTATCAGCTATAATTTCTGACACCTAGTATGTAATCATTCATCCGTTCAATATGCTACATTTTGAGTGGAACATTTCTCTCTCGCTGTGGGTGACGATGCGAATTTGTTAGCTCCTCTCCGCAAGCGTATTGCCGTACCAGCTTTTAGCAGCTATCATCACCTTCAGCTCCTTTCATACCACCTATACCCGCCATCTCCCACATCGTTAAAAAATCAGGTGCCAGGACTTCAGTTTTGACACTGGAGGTTTTGAAGGTTAAATGGCTTTTGCGCTCTAATAAACTGAATTGTACTTTCAATGATGAATAACACTTTCTTAGTACGATGTACCCATTGATTCAATAGGTGAGTTTATTTTTACATTTTTTTCTCCTTTCTATGAAAGGACTGAATTAGGGAAAACATTAGTATGTTACCCAACTCCATGAATGCAGAGAATTTGTGAAAATTATTATGTCAGTAACAAAAACGATCTGACTTACGGCAGCTTTCGTTCCATGACATTTGTGATTCTGAATTGGCTTCAACTTTTTTCCTGACATCGACTATACGACAGATGCTCGTGTTGTTATGAAACCAAAAATGCGGTTCAGGGCCAGTCACTTTCATTTTCAGGATTGCTGCCATATTCCTTAATCTGTAGTTGTTTACTATCCTTACTATCCGAGCTGAAATGAAAAACCATGATCTTCTGTATGCTAATTGTCTGCGAAATCTAACGAATAAAGTTCTCACGTTGCCATCCATCAACGGTAAGTTTTATGAGCGTATCCAAGTCTGAATCCGATATGTCGTCTATAGTTATGGTCCCATAAACCTTTTCTATCTGCATCCATACATATTTCTTGTCACCTTCTTTACCTTTATAGGCCAAATCACCAACTAGTGCTGTACAGTCGTTGCGTTTCATAGCCATTTCCATTGTACAGTCTAGAATCTCTCAAGTAGAAGTAAGATGAACGAAGTGGTCATGATAGAGACTTTCTAGCAGCCGAAAATAAGTGTGCTCCGACTGGGAACATGGAATATACCCACACCGGAAGGTGGAACAGAAAAAGTAGTCCCCAGAATCGAGTTCAGTTGAGATAACTCCCCAAAAAACTAACATATTCGATGGTTGTCGAACGATTAAGTTGAGGTCATTAGATGACTGTGCTGATATAGTCCGAACGATAAAGTAGGAACAAGGCGCTGACGATCCTCATCTCTGGGACGGAGTTAAAGGGAAACTGTGTGTTTCTGATGAAGAAGCGCTCGATTAGAGGTGCGGT